GTGGTGCTGGGGGATTGAACCGCGGTCCCTGATGCTTTGCTAAGCTTGTTCTAAGTAGGTGCTTTAGACCACTGAGCCATCTCACCAGCCCCTAAACATATATATTGATGAATAAAGATATGATCATTTAAGATTTACTACTGTCTCATTCTAGGAATTCTTATTTTGATTATTAATATTTTTACCTAAAAGTCTACCTCTCCTTAGTTTCTAGTTGTTTCAATTTAAATTTTATCAGTATATGTTTGCAACTTCATATTTCTTATTTGCTATACCAGTGTATTTATTTCTTCCAATACTCGTCTGGTTTTGTGCATGATCTCTGTTCAGTTCTTAAAATCATTTTATTAGCTGAATCCTCTTAAGGGTTTTGCTTGTTTCACAATGAGCCGTTTTCTGTTTTTCCATCAGTTAGTTCATCAGTTTAACTAGTCCTTTTTCTTAAGATATTCAGAAGAACACAGCACTTTTGGAGACACAATTTTCATGGGACCTCCTCTAATTTTCCCACTGCTTTTTATTTCTAGAGTATAATCTACACATCGTGCCCCTTCCTAAGTATTTAATTTTTAATTTTTGTATTTTTGGGTTTTTTTGAGACAGGGTCTCACTATGTAGTTGAGGCTGGCTTTGAGTTCACTTTGTAGTGCATGCTGGTTTTGAACTGGCAACAATCCTCCTGCCTTAGCCTCTCAAGTGCTGGGATTACAGGTGTGCAGCACCATACTGGGCTCTCAGTATTTAAAACAGAGAGAATTCTTAATGAAAGGCTCAGCTCTTTAATGATTTTTAGGTCCCTAAAATAAAACCTCAACACTTTCTTATTCATGGTGCTGAGGCCCTGAGAGCCACAGCTCCTGCTGCTCTCACGCCTCCTTCCGCCTCGGGTCCGGGCCATAGTCTTCACACTTGTCCCTGCCCCACTTCACCACCTGAGACCCCCTTCTACAGTTCAGTTCTCAATTTAAATATCATCTCTCCAAGGACAGGGTCTTTGGCCAGCCTATGTGTTTCTTCCTCAAACACAGCTTCCTGTTTATTCCTTCATAGGACTCACTAACTCATAGTTACTTATTGAATTGTTACATGTTCAAGAGAGAAGGGCGAAACCACACCTCAGTTTTATCCCCAGTAACTATGTATCCTTTGGCACTTCCTGCACATTCAGTAATCCTATTTTGAAGGGGAACTAACAGGCCAACAGGCAAATAAGGAGCACACACTGCCCACCAGCTGTGGCCTGGCCCCATCCAGCAGCAGGATGCCCAGGATAGTGCACAGGAGCCAGCGACAAGTGCTGCCTCTGTCACAGACCCCGGAGATGGAGAAAGCAGCTCCTCTTCTCTAACCCAGCGTCCTGTCCTGAGGGTAGATTACCGTGGCAGGCTCCCGGAAAATCAGCTGGCTACAGAGCAGCATTTTCTCAGCCTGCTTCTCACTGTGCAGGCACGCATGTTCGCATGTTCGCATGTTCGCTGGGAAACCTCCACCTTACCTTTCTTCTGTCCTCTCGTGAACTTCGTCGACAATGACATGGGTGACCCCTTGCAGAGTAGAGTCCCCTTCCAGCCTTCTCAGCAGCACGCCGGTGGTGCAGTATAACAGTCTGGTGGCGGAGGACTGCCGCCCCGAAGGGCAACACCAAGGAGTCAGGAATTGTGGAAGAAACATTAATTGGCAGGCTATATCGCATACATAGAATAATCAATAATACTGAAAGCAACAGCAGTTTTATTTAATGTAAAACAAGTACAGTTTCTTGCTGGGACAAGAATAAATGCTTTTCTACTTCAAATCAAAAATTTAAGGTTCTCCATGTAAGCATCTAAAAATTATAAAACCTATTTTAAGAAAAAAACTTGAGTAACAAAATTCATCCGAATTTTTCCCAGGGTCAAGAGCCAAGGAGAACTTACTCAATCACTTCTAATAACAACACGTGTGTGGCTCAGTCAACTAAGACTTCAGCCTTACTGAACGTGGACATTAACTTAAAATAACCTGAAATAGCCCAAATGGCCACAGACCTCCAGACACCACCCTCATCTTTGCAACTTAAAACTATAAACTGCTGTCACCACAAAATAAGCAAAGTATACACACCTTGACACTTTCTAACCGAATCTGGTATCCCACGGTCAGACCCACCCTTTCTGCTCTTTCTTTGGCAACCCGTTCCGCAACAGAGATTGCAGAGATTCGTCGGGGTTGGGTGCAAATGATGTTAGCCACCTTCTCAGGTGGCCCGCTCAGAGAATCGTCCAGAATAAACTGTGGAATCTGTGTGGTTTTCCCACATCTGTATGTCAAAACAAATGAGTCCTAAAATGAAGTTTTCAAGGGCTAGTTAACTAAGTAATCACAGGCAGCAGAAAAATGACAAAGCTAATTAAAATAAATGTTGCACAGCTTCACCTTGCTTCTGAAACTACTACTGACATAGCACCTAACACTGATACATTCTAGGAATTTATACTAACTTTAACAGGCAATCTAGTAACAGTTCGTTCATAACACTGGGGCTACAGAGCCGCTATGGTGGAGCATGCTATAATCCCAGCACTGAAGCAGGACTGCCATGAGTTCAAGGCCATCATAGGTCACAGTCAGTTAAAGGAAAGTCTGAGAGTGTGAAACAGGAAAAACAATGAACCTTAGTCTGTTCTTTAAAAAAAAAAAAAAAAGTAAATCAGCTAGACCGTCTCAAAAAGACAAAAATAAACAAATTAATTAATTAAAGATAAAAATAAAAATAAATCCAGAAGGTAAAAAAATTTTCAAGGTGAATGTCCTGGAACTATTTGTTACATTTAAAAATGGTCCTTGCTAAATCTTCAGCTGGATCTTTACCTTAACATTGCCTCAAGGCAGGACACAATGTCTATAAATTACTAGATAAATTTTTGAGCTTTATTTTGCTCTTTGTAATTTGTCTCTGCTACAGAAGTTGCAATATCAGCTTCTGTGAAATAATATTTAATATTTGGTGGGAAAATTGCTAATAACACTAGCTACAGATATTTTAAAGGGTAGATTAATTTAGCAGGGTCCTTGTATTTACAAATGAAAGCTGCATCACAAATATGTTGCTTTAAACACAGAAAATACAAAAAAAAAAAAAAAACCAAAAAACCAAAACCCAAATAGGTTGCTTTCTTACCCAGTCATACCACTTATGACAACCACTTGGTGCTTCCTTAACAACTTAAGGATGGTTTCTCTTTCTTCCCAAGCAGGGAGTGATTGTCTTTCCTGTAGAACTGACTGGAACTGTCTGGAACCCTAAAAATCCCAAGGATGAGGCATCAGTTTGTTACTTTCAGTCACCTTTCCCAAAGATCTGGCTCCAGAGTCCCAGAGTTAAGATCTACTGTCTTCACTTGAACAATTTCTTCTGAGACAGAGCCTGTGGAGACTGTACACAGGACTTTAGTCATAGCTGCACAGAGAATCCAGCAGTGAGCTGCGGAGCCAGGGTGTTATACAACTAGGTAGACCGGAAGGCCTCGTGAGTGAGATAAACTCTGCCTTAGCAGCTGTCCAGCTCTTCCTAACGGAAGTCTCTATGCCAGCACTGGCCGATAGAACTTCACAGATATATTCCCTCCCTGCACTGTCTAATTTAGTAACTTCTGGCTACATACAACTATTGAGTCCTTGAATGTGGATAGTACCCCAGAGGAAGTGAATTTATTTTAATGAATTTAAATTTAAATAGCCATGGCTAGGAGCTACCATAGTGGACAGGAGAAATTATCAGATTTTTCCTAAATCAAAAATAATAAGAGCACTTGCCAAAGGGCTGTAATTTTTTCCAAATTCTACAATTACGAAAATCAGTTTCATGTCTAATGGTGATGCTATAATACTGTATTATGTATTAAAATATGGGGGAAGAGGGATTGCGAGAGCATGGTTAATGGATACAGAGGTGCAGCTGAATGGCGTAACATCTAATGTTCATAGTATAGTAGATTCACTGTGGTTTACAACAATTGCATATTTTAAAAAGTTAATAAAAAAGATTTTGAATGTTCCAAACACAAAGTAACTATAAATATTGTAGTGATAGATATGGCAGTTACTATGAGCTACTTACATATTAACATACATGTACTGAAATGCCACACTACATCATATAAATATATACAGTTGTCTGTCAATTAAGAATTCTACCCATGCTGCCAGATGCTCCAGCCAGATGGGCAGGCAGCACTGCTAGTCTAGCAGCACCCCTGGAAGCAAGTGGATACGCTCCTGGCCGGCACAGTCCTCCCCGAGGTGGGCCACTCTTACAGCGCTGCACCAAGAAGGACTTTGGGTGCAGGACAGCATCCTGCAGGAACAGCTGACAGCTCCATCGACTCTTACAAGGTGTGGTCCTGATTCCTCCTGATGCTCAGAGATGCCAATGTACACGTAGGCTTGGCATCCTTCCCTAGACACACGCACACATAATGCCGTATTTTCATGGTACTATTTCCCAAATAAGGACAAGGGACTTCTACTCTACTATAACTTCTATCTAACTATGTCTTGCTCTGTAAGACAGGAGTGCACAAATGTTTTCACTCAAGGGCCCAGTAGTAAATATTTTAGATTTGATGGTCACATACATCTCTTGTATATTCTTGCTTTAGTTCTGACAACTTTTTCACAAGGTAAAAATGACTCGTCTAAGGTAAGAGATCAGACATTAATGGTGAGATTAAGCCTGGAGCTTGGCATCAGCTGCACCTGTCCTAGGAGACCCCCCCAACCTACCCCCCACCAGTGTGCCAGCCAGGAACCCCTCCTGTAGCCAAGAGACTGCTCAGGGAAGTGGCTCAGCCCAGCTCAGCAATTTTTCCCCTGCTGCATCATGGGATTAATAAAGTTCAATGTTGCATAATTTTTTTTAGAATTTTTCATTTTAAAAAGGCTCTATTTTTGAATAATGTAAGAATTTATAAGGGCCAGGGAGATAGCTCAACATCATAAGTGCCTGCCTGGCAAGTGCAAGGTCCTCGCCAAAACCAAAAAATATATACTAACATGTCATTGCCTATATATAATTGTATTATGGAACTATCATACTAATAAAATTGACTGTATAGTTTTTTCATCTACCACCTTGCTATTTACAGTGTGATTTTACAAACACATTTGATGTTCAATGGGTACATTACGTATTTGAGAATGTTATATAATGTCAAAAATCAGAACCACAGAACTTTGGAACTCCAAGAGCATTTGATCTAATCCCCAAATGGATTAAACAATTCACTCTGCCCCGTATCAGTGATGGTGAACTGTACAGAGATGAGTGTCTAAACTATACTCCAAAACCTTATTCATTACAAAGTGCCAACACTGTGATTAAACCTGAATATTGAGGTTTTAATTTTAGTACATAAAAAAAAACTCATACATTTAACATCTTTTGTTTGAAAAGAACAACATGTCACAGGTTTGCCACCACTGCCCTACATCAACTGTGCCCTCATAGTTCCTTTAAAATAATCTCCAGGAAGGAGTAAAAACAGCATAAACTTTGCAAACAGAAAATTGATTTGAATCCCTATGTTGCCACATACTGTTCACGTGTCCTTTGGCACAATATTTATCCTGTGAATCTTTGAAATGGGGTACGAGTACCTCCTTATCCTTCTACTTCTATACAGTGTTTTTGTTTTTTTGGAACTGGAAATCAAACTGAGGATCTCATGCTTGCTAGGCAAGTGCCGTGCTGCTGAGCTATATCCTCAGCCTGTACAATGGCTTTCTAATGTATTAATATTTCTTTCACGCATAAGGTTGTCTAAGTTAACGCCAAAAGATCACGATTCTGATAATAACTGGTATACATCTGTATTTGATACTCATATTGTGGGGTTCTGCAAAACTATGAGCAGACGCAATTATGGCAGGTAGGAACTTTAACCCTTTAGGGTGAAAGAGTCAAAGAGATACTACTAGGGAGAGTAGTCAAAGCTTCTTAATTCCTAATCCTTCCTCCAGACATCAGGGAGACAATGCTAGCCCTCCTCTCAGCATACTGTACCTGTTTCATTTGGAACTGCTTGCAGATTTTACTGTTCTCAGCATGAACTGACTTTGTGGGCCAGTCGTATCTTCTCGAAGCCTTTTTCTCAAGGTTGACACAGCTCTCATTCTCCACCGTAACAGGTGCAGGGCTCTCCCCATTTGCCTCTTCTTCAGGCTCTGATTCTTTTTCAACTTGAAGGGAAGAGAAAGAACCATTTCAGTTTGCCTTTTCCTTAGCAAAGGCAGAAAATTCCTAACAAAGCAACAAAATTGTAAAATGGAGAAAAAGTTGAAATTTAAGGTAGGTTTAATTCATTTGAATACTACTACCACTACTGCCAAGGAACTCGAGAGGCATCTTCAAATGAAATGAAGTAACAGTGGTACTATGACACTAAATTTAAAAAAAGAATTCAGATTTAAGAAATTAGCACTGAATATTTCAGTTATTTGCAAGTACCCCCAAAATTTAATGACTCAAACCAAACTAGATGTTGATCAAATGAACTAATCAATAAAATGTATTATATCTATACAACTGAATATTAGCCAACAATAAAGAGAAATGTTATTAATACATGCTTCGGTGTGTGTGTGAAACCTGAAAATATTCCGCTAGGTGAAAAGTATTTAGTCAAAGACTTAGGTGTCATATGATTCAGCTTTTATGAAATACCTAAAACAAGCAAATCTTAGGTGCTGGGGATACAGCTCATTGGCACACAAGCCTGCCTGGCAAGAGCAAGGTCCCTAGTTCAATCCCCAGTACCACAAAAATAAATAAAATAAATAAATAAATAAAACAAAACAGGAAAATCCACAGACCGTAGAGCAGTGGCTTTCAAGGGTGAGGGCAAAGAGATGCCTGCTGATAGGCACAGGATTCCTTTTGAGGTAGATCATATTCTAATATTAGGGGTCATGGCTACACAACTTGGTAAAGTTTAATAAAAACCAATTTCAAAGGGGTGAATTTCATGGTACGTAAACTGTATTTCAATAAAGCTATTATTATTCTCTTTTTCATTTATGTATTTGGTACAGGGTCTCACTGTGCAGCTCGAACTTAGTGATCCTCCTGTTTTCATCCTCCCCAGCGTTGGGATTACAGGCATGTGTCATCATGCCCAGATTCACCGTGGCAGGGCCAGTGCAGCATGCGGGACCAGGGATCGAACCTTGGTCCTTGTGCTCACCAAAGCAGGCGCGTAGTCCACTGAACTACCTCGCTGGCCCTTGCTGTTATGTTTAAAAGTCCATTACATGTAATTTGTTATTTCCCAAGGAACACACTAGAATCCCAAGTACTAGAAGCTGCCATCTGAGAGCAGGTCAGCAGGTTAGTAGGCGACCAGCTAGCTGTGCAGCACCCGTATCTCAGTGCAGTTTCATTATTCTCTGCTTATTAATGCCCACCCAGGAAACTGACAAAATAACAAAAACTTTCATTTCTGGGGAAAAAAAGATGGTAAGAAGTCAGAGTGGATCCTTCAATGAAAACTGAAAAGGAGGTTTATTTGAGGCCTGAGAATCTTGACCTGGACAAACCCAGAAGCCTGTGTAAGTACTTCTTTAAAGATTTAGGATTCACAAAGACAGCCCTAGTGTAATGAATTCTGACAGCCAGTATGCTAAAAGCAAAAGGGCATGGATGGTATAAAAAGTATAAGCAAAGATATGAATCCAAATGCACTAAGAAATAGTGTTGCTGAGAAAGTGCTTACAGTCTTCCTGCCCGTCGACTCCTTTACAGTTAAGACTCACACATCACTTAAATTTCCCATCAGGGAGTGCAACCCAGCAACCCAGCAGGCCAAACAACTAAAGGTGGGCGTATGACAGTTCAGGGGACTCTTGTCCCTCCTGCCAACAGCACAACAAGACCTGCCCAAGATCACAGAAGACTCTAAACTGGCCTCAGAAGTTCTGACTTGTTTTGTCCCCATTATCAACACCATACATACCTTCAGCAATTTGACCTGAAACAAAAGAATTGCTTGGAATCACTGGTTTACGACAGGTGGGATTATTTATTCTGGCCCCAGATGGTGTGGGCAGAAAGTTCACAGGAGGGATGCTATACTTGTGCTCCGTATTTGCTAGTAACTTGACAATTTCTGATTCTTCCTCTAACAGGGTCATCAAAGAATACACGACAGGTTCTGAAGTCTCTGCAAATGTCAAGGCTTTACCATAAAGGAACTCAGAGATATGTAAACGGCAAGCCAGAGGTAGATTCTCATTGGTGGAATAAAATGCCACAAGGGGAGCTTGGTAGGGGTATTTATGGTCTTTTGGAAAGCGAATCTCAAGCTCATATAAAAAGGACACATTTTTATTAGCACTAAGATGAGAATCATCTACAATTTTTTCTGCTCTTCCAACAATTTGATTTGGGGGCACTTCATGTTTGAATTTGCATCTTGATCCAAATTTACAATTTCCTTTGAGGTAAAATTTGCAGGTTTCAAGTGAAGTATCTTGTGCATTTTTGCTTTCCTTTCGCTTGGACTTGCAGAATTTACTTGTCAGATACTCCAGTTCCAATCCAATGATCCAGACTCTGTTCTGAATTCTTTCTATAAATTTTTCTCCACAGATGGACTTGAGAGCAAAAGCCTCTTCCTGTCGCTGCTCCACACACTCACACAAGCTCATGCAGCCAGCTGCCTTGGAGATTTTCATCTTCTCTCCAAATGTCTCCGCAAAGCACTGAGTGAGTAAGTGCTCCAGAGCTGCTCCCAAATCTCCATCACAAATTCTCAGGGCTGCCTGACAGCGCTCAATGTTGAAACCATACCTGGCCACAGCAAAGTGTAAAAAACCATGTTAAAAAAAAATAATAAATATCCCCAAAGTGAAATTCATTTAAATATGCCCATATGAATTTATGACTATATAGAAGTAGGCTTGTATTTTGAACAATTGGTCCTAACAGTACTAATCCCCTGCCCTAAAATATAGACTATTAGGCACATCAGGCACCACTGGAGCTCACACGATAGGAAAATACACAAGCAAAGGAAAATGGGACTGTAATACAAATCCCGTTGCTTTGAATTTTCCCCCAAGTCCCATAAATAATCAAAAGCAATCACCTGGAAAGTCGCTGTGCAGCAAATGGGGAGACGGCAACTTCCGGAACATAAGGCTGCAGCGCGCCTGAGCCCACACATTCCACAGGGTCTGAGTCAGGCACTAGGGCGAGCCCCTGCCCAGCTACCCAGTACTGTTCGTCGGCACAACCATCAGGCTCATCCTCTTCTTCTTCAACAGAAACACCTCTCCTAGCAAAGGGCACATTTTCATGTATTAGACATTAACTTTTATTTAAAGAAGAAGTTAGCAAGGGTCTAAGAATTTAATTCAGGGAGTGAAGGGCAGAAAATCCTGACTGTCTCAGTTGCTGATTTAACCTTTTTAGGAAATGTTAGTACATGACATCATTACATGCCAAACGCTGTCTCAAGTGCTTTCTATGTACTCCTGAGAACACTCTTATTCTTCCCAATAACTCAGCCAGGTACTACTGGAACCATGCTCTTTAGGTGATCAAATAAAACAAATTTTTTAAAAATTTACTTATATATTTGGTACAAGGTTTCAGTATGCAGCTCAGACTCAGAGTGATCCTCCTGTTTTCAGCCTCCCCAGCACTGGGATTACAGGCGTGCACCACCATGCCTGGACTCAGCAGCTGGCTCAGTGGGCCCCGGGGATGGGGCCAGCGCAGTATGGGGACCAGAGATTGAACCCTGGTCCCAGCACTTGCCAAAGCAGACGCTTCGTCTACTTAGCTGTCTCGCCAGCCCTAAATAAAGCTTAAGAAAGGATTATTAACTAGCTAAGTTTACACAATAGGGAATAACAACGGATTCTACCCAAGGCAGTCTGCTCCCAGAAACTTTACCCATCCTCTTTTTTTTTTTTTCTCATTCACACTTTTTTTCCCATAATTTTATTGAGAAACAAATAGCAATAAGTCAGTTTCAAACCAAATTGGTAATCATTCACACTTTTTAAAAAAAATGTTTTGTTTTGTTTCACTATATAATTTCCTTTTCTAAATCTGAGACAGATAAAAATGTAGAGATAGGAAGGAAACTGATCTGTGTATGACATGACCATTCATTAATTCCAGCAAATAGAATTATCTTCAACAGAAAATAATAAAACCAAAGAGCCAAAACACATTGGAGAAGTAGAGGGAATGTGACGAAGAGTATACCTATAGGGCCAGCCTGATAGCTCAGTGGGCTAAAGCGCCTGCTTAGGCAAATGCAGCAACCTGCTTTCCATCCCCGGCCTGCCGTGCTGGCCCTGCCTGTGGAGCACACTGAGCTGGTGATTAAGACTGGGGGTAGTGACGTGCACCTATAATCCCAGAACTTGGGAGGCTGAAAACAGGAAATTCACTACTAGTCTGATTCGTAAGTCTGATCTACGTAGTGAGACCCTGTCCTAAATATAGGGGAAAAAAAGTATGCCTGGAACGTTAGCACACTAGGAGGCTAAGGCATGAGAGCCACAAGTTTATAACCAGCCTAGGCTGCTTACTGACTTAGTGAGACCCTGTCTCAAAACAAAATTTTTAGAGGTCTGGGGATATAGGCTGGCACAAAGGCCCCAGGTTCAATCTCTGTATTCTCTCTCTCTCTCTCTCTCTCTCTCTCTCTCTCTCTCTCTCACACACACACACACACACACACACAGAGGCAAAGAGTAAAAGCTGTTTCACTCAGGCAGATGGCCATGAGAAAATCTAATCTTAACATTTCAGTGGTCTTTATGTCCTTCAACAGATGGATAAAGAAAACGTGGTATTTACGTGTACACAGTGGAACACTACTTGGCCACACAGAGGGATAAATCTGAGTCATCTGTAGGAACATGGATGCACCTTGAGACCATAATGTAAAGTGAAATAAATCAAACACACAAGCTTAAATAACATATTGTTTCTCTTATATGAGAAACCCCAAGCATAAGTAATTTACAAAGCAAAATGAAGGATAATGGGAAACAGGGAAGCAGACCTTTTGCAGATGGGAAGGGGCCCGCGATGGAGGCTGTGGGGAAGGGTAGGTAGAAAGAAGCCCTGCTGCATGCGTGCCCCACCTCCCCGCAAGGGACACAAGCATTTTGAACTCCAAGCGTGCAGTAATCAAAGTTCTCAAAAACTAAAGAAAAACTTCATCTAATCAACTCAATATTGCTCTTAAACACTTCTGTGTTTTCACTACAAGGTTTTAATTGGATGGCTAGCAATGAAGAAATAACTGAATCTCTATTAGCACTTCCTGAAAAAAAAAAAAAAACAATTACAAAGGCAAACTGTGCTACTGCTCATGGATGGTGCACAACAAACTCACTCTGAACCTGTAGCTGAATAATTGTTCTTGCATTTTTTTCTTGGCTCACTTTCAACTAATTAAACGACCACAACAAAATCGGTACAGACACAATATTCTACAGGTGTACAGGACATTCATACTGCCAATACGTCTTCCTTAATGCAATTACTGACTCAAATAAAATCACTTACTCAGATCCTGCATCAGCATCTTGCTCCTGCAGGTCTCGAAGAAGAGCCTTCACTTTCTCTTGATTCTCCGAGGTCATATGCAGAGTCTGAAGGGGCACTTTGGCCGTAGGCTTCCATTTAGTGCGCACCTCCTCCTTGTTCACACCACTATTGCTGGGTCTACGAGGTACGTGAGAGTAAAATTATACAGACTTGTTTTTTTGACACAGGGTTTGGTTATGTAGCTCAGGCTGGCCTTGAACTTGCAGCAATCCTCCTGCCTCAGCCTCCCAAGTACTGGGCTTATCAGCGTGTGCCATGCCTTGAATCTTTTTTTTTTTTTAAATCTTTTTCATTTATTTATTTGGTACAGGGTCTCAGATTTAAGGTTCTAATAACCTACAACATCTATGTTCTGAAAAACAACAGAGCTGCAGTTAACTCATAAGTTAAATCTTAAACCACCAGTTAGGTGAAAACAGTTTAAAATCTCTCTGAAAGCATCTTTAGACTGCTGTCAAGTGTGAGACACATTATCTCTCATTATACCCAAAAATGACCATTTTACTTGAGAATTTTTTAAAAATGTAGATTCTTTAGCTGAATACCAGATAAAGTGTTTGGTTATTCTGGGGGCCATAAATGAGGAATATATATATTTAAACCTTACAATCATATTCTCAGTACAGTAAGAGACTCAAACTACAAGAAGTGCTTAGAAACTGAGTCTGGCCAAGGGACTAACAGATTCTTTTGTCTGTATTTTTCTCACTATCTGGCTAGATTCCTTTAATGGTAAGTTTAAACTACCTACACGATACTTACCTTTTTCTGCATGTATAGACTGAATTTAAATAAAAAAAGCATGTATGATGCAAGTAAACCTTGACACTTACCCTCCTTTGTAACTAATACTTAGTCGACAATTAATTCCATGAGTATGTTGCATTTATGTACATGTGGCCTTAAAGTCTTCCCAACCCTAACAATTACCACAAACATACAGCTCACAGAGCACTTTGAGAGGCAATAGGAACTTTATATTTGCACTGCATAATATGTACTAGTAAAATCGACTTTCATTAAGCATTTATTAGAATTATCAGAATTTGCATAGCTCATTACTGGTTAAAAGCTGACATGAGAGAGACACGGTTATGACATCTGCTATGGGTCACCACAGGACACATCGTCAGGCCAGGGCTGATCTGGCTGGAAAACACATCACTCATCAGCTAAGAGTATGGAGTTGGCTGGCATCTGGAGCTCTTTGATTTTAACAATAGTCCCTGATGCCCAGAGAACATTTAAACAATTTTCACTGCTCCTGTTTTAGCATTTCCCTTCCTAGCAACACGGGGATCAAGAACAGTGTTAGACTCTATTCACAGGGTCATGTGGAATTTAAAAGCAACTTCAGATTTCAACCTACGAAGAGAAAAAAAACAGCTCTGATTTACAATCAAGCCTTTAGAAAACATTACAAAGAGGATGGTCAGGCTATAAAATTAGAACAATTAACCAGAATGACTTGACCTCCCCACAGCCACCTGTTATCCCGTATGCTAAGAACTGACAGTTTAATATTTGAACATCAAAGAGTGTAATAACCTGGATGATCGCCTTGATTCACCGAAGATACAAAAGTCATCCCCATCATCCCAAATTCGACTTGAAGCCTTTCTAGTGCCACCACCACTGCCACCACTGCCACTGCCGCCAGCCCCATGAGATTTATTACTGTGACTCCTATTTCCTCTTCCTCCTTTAGAAGATCCTTTTCCACCTCCTTTGCCTGGCTTGCCTTTTCTTTTTACTGAAGAACTCATCTTCACCTGAAAGAGAAAAGAATTATGATTATGATAGGCACCATAAAATTAGACAATAATAATAATAATCTCATTATGACAAAGTTATGGACAGAGCCTACTTTAAGGAAGTAAAAGGAAGTGCTTTTTTTTTAGAGACAAGAGTGTCACTATGTAGTCCAGGCTGACCTTCAACTCACTATGTAGCCCCAACTGGCCTCAAACTCCTGGTAGTCCTCCTGCCTCAACCTCCTGAATGCTGGGACTACACATCTGGCAGGGAAATGCACATTTTAAAAGAGCCAGTTTGGGGACAGTATGGTTACACTGTTCACAAAAAACTTATAAGTGAAAAGGAAAAATTTAACCACAAAAAATTGTTCTTTTAAGCACTTTGTTCTTGGGCTGGCCTGATAGCTCAGCTGATTAAAGTGTCTGCATAGGCAGACCCGGGTTCGATCCCCAGTGTGCTGTGCTGACCCTGCCCCCAGGACACACTGAGATGGTGATTGAGACTGGGTGTGGTGGTGCATGCCTGTAATCCCAGTGCTTCGGAGGTTGAAAACAGGAGAATTACTAGGAATTCAATTTGTGTGGTGAGACCCTGTACTAAATATAATAAAAATAAATTTTAAAAAACTTTGTTTTTTCTGAAACTGCCTAGCTCTGTAACTACATCACGGATCTGTAATTACTTTCTTGACCCCTGTAACCATGACAGCATAACCAAACATGCAGGATGTCTTGTAACTGATGATCATTAATCTAGCCCTGTAACAGATGATCTCAGCCTGTTAGGCAATCAGAGAAATAGTAAGCTGTTCTGCTCATCTTCATACCTCTTGCTTATCTAGCATTTAAACTATTAGCCCACAGCGCTGGGTGTCTGGCTTTGTTAAGGGGCAGATCCCAGCCAGGACCACTGGTGCAAAATGAAGCTATTCACTGCCTCCAAATCCTGGGTGCCATTTGTGTTACTGCTTGCTGTAGCTCAAGTGTATGTCTCTTAGACTAACATTTAATTCCTATGGTGCAGATTTCTTAACCAAGGGTATGTATCATAAGCCCATGGAAGTTTCACCATGCCTAGGCCACTGGACCTAGATAATGATTAGGTTAGGACTAATATAGAATTTTTTTTTTAAATTTTTTTTAATATTTATTTATTTATTTATTTATTTGAGAGAGAGAGAGAGAGAGAGAGAGTGAGTGTGTGGCCAGCTCAGCCCACCAGGGGGCAGGGCTGGCTGGCATGTGGTGCTGGGGGATTGAACCGCGGTCCCTGATGCTTTTGCTAAGCTTGTTCTAAGTAGGTGCTTTAGACCACTGAGCCATCTCTCCAGCCCCAGGACTAATATAGAATTTTAAAAACTCTAGTTGAGACTAGATATAGTTCTTGATTATATGATTTGATTTAAAAAATTCAAACTTACATGTGTCTCATTAGGAGCACAGCCCCGACTCAGAGATTCTGCCTACGGAAAGAAGCAGGGAATAAAGCAGATGGCTCTAAATCTCCTCCCCAAAGAAGTGTGACTCCATTTGTAATTACTGCAGAATTTTAAGAGGCAGGAGAGACCACAGAGAAACAGGAAGGTTTTATTAGGTGCACCTGACTCAGCTGGACTTCTGTCTAAAAGACTGAGCGGCTAATACAGGACAGGCTTCAGGTGTTGTTCATGTGACCGGTGGTTGGCATAGTGATGAACAGGTGAAGTTACAAAGGCACTTAGTTATCCATGTAGTGACAGTTTTGTAACTTGTAACTTAGAACCTTCAAACCTTGTGGGGACAAGAGAATGTCATAAAGCTGAATGCTGCAGATGCCATGGAGAGTTATAGGACTCTTTCCTCAGGATCATAATTATTCTTACCAGGAATAGAGAAGAGGTCAACTTTGAAAAACAAAAACAAAAGACCACAGATCTTGGTGGGAACAGGATGCCTCAGGACTCTGCTTACAGGAATTTGTCTATTAATCCTTATCTGGACCAGAGCTGCAAGCACAGCTTCAGGGGAGGGAAGGAATGTGAGGGGGAATGCTCAAGGATGGGAAAAGAGAAAAATTGGTTTTCTCCAAGTTCTGCTTTACAATGAAATATGAATTTTAAAACTAAAAAAGCTTAAAGGTAATTAAGGAGATTAAATAACTTAATGGAAATAACAGTTTTACCATCAGCTTGCCAAGGAAAACCAAAGAATGAGACCATTGGCAGGAGCCCTTCTGAGATCCAACCAAATATCAAGGAAGAACCTCAGAAACCACTGTTTGAAACTAAACCCTATTTTTTTTTTTTTTTTTTTTTTTTTTTTTTTGAGACAGGGTATACTAAGTTACTAACCTGCCAAGGCTAAGTTCAAATTTGTGATCCTCCTGACACAGCCTCCCAGAATGTTGTAATTATAGGTGTGAACCTCTGTGCCAGGCAATATATGGGTAATGTTGAAAACTGACTGAGTACTCAACCAGCAATTAGTGGAGTTTAACAACTCTGTGTGGTCAGAGGACAGGAGACAGAGCTCTTCAAACTACATCACTGCAGGGCCACTGTGGCATTCCCAAAGCTGTACCTGTCCAAGGGGCACTGTTAGAGCTTAATACTGTGAGAGTGAGACTGAAAAAACTGGCCTGACCCTTCTCTTTTCCCTCTGCCAGCCAGTAGGAGCATGATCTCTCTGACAGCTGTCCTGATCCTCTCTTGCACTGCCTCAGGGGACAGGGGGGAATTCTTTTATTTAAATATTTTATTTTTTATGGTTTTTTTGTTGTTGTTGTTTTGTTTTTTGTTTTGCGGAACCGGGGATTGAACTTAGGCCCTTGCACTTGCCAGGTAAGCACTTATTCTACTGAGCTATCTCCCCAGCCCCTATTTTTTATGTATTTGGTACAGGGTCTCGCTGCAAAGCTTGGACTCATAGATCTTCCTGTCTCAGGTTCCCCAGTGCTGGGATTACAGTGGCATGTGGTGCTGGGATCAAATTCTGGTCCCTGCACTTGCCTGAGCAGGCACTTAATCCACTGAACTATCTCGCTGGTCCTCACTGCCTCCATGATGAACCAGCTCCAGCATCTTTAAGGTTCCCTTGAAGCTGCCCTCCAGGCTACCATGTGCCTCTGGCTCCTGCAGCCTTGACAGGTACCCCAGCTTGGCTGACAGTCATAGTGCCCCTCCCCTGCTCCAGGCCACTGCTGCCACCTGTCTGAAGAGTAAGGACGGACCACCCCTGGTGGGACAAAGATTGGGTAGGGATGGGCTGCTGCTATCATCTCATAAATCCCTAGACCCTTGTGGTCAGTGATCAGCACTGCTGATCTGCTGCCCTTCCTAGAGAATCCCTGAACGCCTCAGCAATCTTGACTTGGGCCCCACCACTTCCAGGGAAATGCAGGAGCTGCCACAACAGTGGAGGCTGTCCTTGCCTGTCCACCCCTGCTGCAGAAAACTTGAAATACTGACTTCATTCCGATGCCCCTGCCCCCTCTGCCACTACTCAGAAAGTCCCAGAGATTATGTCTTCAAGCCAGTCCTTTCTCTACGTGAGAAGGGATCCTTATGCTCCTTTGGTCAGTCCTAGAGGGCTCCCCTCCATGCGTAAGCCTGTGCTGTAATACAGGTCCCAATGAAATCCTCACTTGGGCAAGCCTCTTGCCTATTCACATGGCAACAGCAGTTGATAAGTCATCACAGCTTCTAAATGAATTTAAAGGCAGATAAATTATGGGAAAGGTACAAAAGAAAAAAATTGAGAGTTACTGTAAGATGTTTGGGCCTGAGCAAATTAGGTAAACAGTGGTGACAGGTACAGTACTCATAGAAGGGCTGGCCAGATGCTCAGCAGATTAAAGTGCCTGCTTAGGCAGATGCAGGGGACTAGGGTTTGATTCCCGTGTGCTGTGCCATGTCGGCCTCACCAATGGGGCTCGCTGAGACTGTGACTGAGACTAGGCGTGGTGGCGCTTGCCTGTTATCCCAACACTTGGGAGGCTGAGAACAGGAGAATCACTGAGTTTGATCTGTATAGTGAGACCTTGTACTAAATACATTAAAAAAAAAACAACCCTGATTAGACATGTTATCATTTTAGAGGCTGGTTACTCAAATGCAGATGTGTAGGAAGCAGCTATACATCTACATTGAAGGGAAAGGTGGTGTTATTCAGATCTAGAATGTTCCTCAGAAGTCATGTGTTCAGAAGTCGGGCATGGAAAGGTGATAGGAACACGGGGGTGCTACACTCATCAGGAGATCAAGCCACTGAAAGTCACAGCTGAATACACTGTTAGGAAGAGGCTGGCCAGGAGTGGGTCACTGCAGTGTGACCAGGAGGCTGACGTTCTTGTCCTTGGCTCCTTCCTGTTCTCTGCTTCCTGGCTGCCACGCTTTCCCCATGCCCTTTCACCATGAGGACTGCCCTGGAGCCAGCCAGCCATGGACTCAACCCTCTAAACTGTGAGCCAAATTAAACCTCTCCTCCTTTAAATTGTGTGTGTTGAATATTGTGCCCAGCAGCAAGAAAGGTGGCTAATACAGGAAGGATTAATTTTAAAATCCTTACAGACAGGCAAGTATAATTTTCTATTATTTTATAGAGAAGGAACCTAGAGTAAGATAAATTATGCAATGTGTCTAACAGCACCAACTAGTGAGGCAAAGCCTGAGGTCAAGATTTAAATAAACTGGGGTTTGAATAAATCTGCTTAACTCCAAAGCTGATATTTGTTTCACAGAATTGCCTCCTTAGGGCACACTTATACCTCATATCTCAATTCAAAAAAGAAATTTGGCTCTCCGTTGATTTGTGACCAGTTGTTAACTTATAAAGATGACTGAGTGGTGACATGGAAATGAATGACATCACAAGAAAAACTGGGAACCTGGGAGTGGTAGCTGGGAGTGTAATCCTAGCATTTAGGAGGCTAAGGCGAGAGGATCACAACAACTTTAAGGTTAGCCTAGGCTACACAGTGAGTTCTAAGCCAGCCTGGACCACACAGCAAGACTGTCTCAAAATACATTTTTAAAAAAGCAAGGAAAAGAATTTAATATGACTCACAAATCCTGCAGAAAGGAAAGGCACATAGCACCATGCACGACCACAGGGAGAAGTAACAAGTTGGTCAAGTGGCACAGAGGTGTAAAGGTTAGGCACAGGTCTCTATTAAACCAAGACTCTTGAGATTCTTGAAATAAATGGGTTTATCAAGTCATTACAGTTACTAGACAAAAAAAAGGAAAAGACTACCTCCTGGGACAAGTTTTTGTAAACTATCAACAGTAAGACCAGGTAACAAGGGGCTGGGGAGATAGTTCAGTAGAATAAGTACTTGCCTGGCAAGTACAAGGGCCTGAGTTCAATCCCTGGTTCTGAAAAAAAAAAAAAAAAAAAAAACAGGTAACAGTTGGAAAAATGTCTATTAACTGACCAGAGCTAAGAGCTTTTATAAATATAAAAATTTTTTTACATAAGGCTGGGGAGATAGCTTAATAGAATAAGCCCCTGCCTGGGAAGGACAGGGTCCTGAGTTCAATTCCTGGTACCAAAGAATTGGACAGGATCTCTATGTAATCCAGGCTGGGCTTGAAATCACTATGTAGCCCAGTCTGGCCTCCAGCTCAAAACGATTTTCCTGCCTCAGCCTCCCTAATGTTGTTTTTTCAGACAGCTGCTTTAGGTAGGATATTATTGGCAGTCAGACAGGACAAGGTCCTCAAGGAATCAGTACAGAGAATGACAACATATTACAATTATGGCTGGAGGCAGATCTGTTGAAGCCCAGTCCTCAAGATAAAAGCAAAATGACCAGGCCTGCATGCCTCCACAAGGAACTAGCAATGAACTGACAATTATACCGTAACTGTTATAACTTGGTCCAATAAAGTCTTGCTAGCCATCAGTCAGGTGGGTGGCCAGGACCCTTTGATTCACCTCTTCCTATAAAGGTCCTTGTCCTTTCTATGCATACTTGCTATGTGACTTGCTTCCCCACTGGATCAGTATTACCCAAGGAGCTATAACTGAGATCTTACTGGTTGATCATGGTTTCCATCCACGTTGTACCCCCAATTCTGTACCCACCCCATGATTTTGCTCTAGATTCACTGGCAACCCACTTTCAGGTCCCCTTCTGTCTCTCAGGAACTATGTCTCTTAATAAATTTTTCCTACGCCCAACCTCTGTTGTTCCTTAGAATTCATTCTTTGATTTGGGGGAACACAAACTCAGCATACCTGACATCTAGCAGGTTGGGAGTTATATTATTTCCCCTATACCACTAGGATTGCAAATACGTACCATACGAGCATGTTTTAATGAACAGAATTGGGAAAGGAAGGCATCAATTGTCCACACTGAGCATAAACTGGCTACAGATAAGAAAAGATTTATAGGGGGAAGCGGTAGGGGTCTTTGGGATACAAAGGAAGTCCCTACAAAGCTAGTGCTGCTGCTGGGTGGATGGTTTAACAGTCCAGGAAGTTTACCTGCGATCAGAGTACACTGGTCTTGGAGGTATGCTGGGTGGGTGGTTTAAGTGAATTTCAGTAGTCTTTTTGGTAACTCCCATTATCTCTGAGAATTTTCTTTTACCAGGCCTCAGCTTTTCTTGGGGTTTCTGAAGGAAAGGCAGGGCAGGGCAGGGCAGGGCTGGACAAACAGCCCTCGCTAGTTCCGGTAAAATTTTAGTAGGCTGTGGGGGCCACAGGACTGGTCTCCAGTTGATTTAGGGCAGGGCAATACTGAAAAAGAGTGAGCAACTTAGTGATCTAGCAAGATCCTGTCTCAAAACAAAAGATAAAAGGGCTGGGGATATAGTCCAGGTTGAAGAAGGCCTCGGGTTCAATGTCCAGAACTGAACAAAGAAAGTGTCTGGCTACAACCCAGAAGGGGCCCAATCGCGTCAGATCTTAAAAGAAAAAAAGGGTTAGAAGGCTTGTAGGCTGGGACTCTGGATTAATGGGTTTTACATATGAAAGGCAACTCACTACAGAGTTATTTATTCCCAAACCCTAGGAGGGGCAGTTGCTTCCTGGGACACCAAGAAGTCAAAACATAAAAAAACATAAAAAAAAGGTAGCCGATTTAAAAGCTTATCAAGGTGACCAAAAACAAAGGGACAAACAGAATTATGTAATAATTGCAGATTCTTTCTAAAATCAGAAAAATAAAACAGATCAGAACTACACCTCAGAATCCGCTCAGCCCGCTGAAACTTGTGTGTTGGGGAGTATTGGGGTAGTTGGGGAGGGAGGGGCAAGATTCTATACTAATTAAAACAACTTGTCTCACATCAACCAAAAAAAATGTGACCTTTACCACCTGAGATTTGTACACAAAAAATTTTGAAAGAAGATCTGCAGGTTGAAATGGTATCCATCCATAACTACTCTCCCCATTTTCCAGGGACTAGAAATGCGGTTGCATAATTCACAGGGCCCCAACTCACTATTCTATCCCACTAGCTTGGAAAGGCCCCACCTTTCTTTGCTCTGGACGCAGGGACCTAAGTTTGACTCTGAGTACCCTTTGTCTCATACCCAAGTTTGTCACCCGGCCGGGCACTGCAAGCCGAGCACGGTGCGCCGTCTTCCCGTGGCAGATCCGACTGACCACAACCCACCATCCGGCTCCAGGGCGACAGACACCGAGCCTGTCCTCCAGCCCGCACCGTCCCCAACCTCTCCCGCAGACCCTGGGTCGGACCTGGAGGCGGAGAACACGGCCACAGCCCCTGCGACGCGGCCCCGTTCGGAGCTCAACGCCGTCCCGTCGCCTCCAGCCCGAGCGAGGACGACCTCAGCGGCAGAGCGCCGGGCCCGAGGTCCCGCGCAGCTCCAGGTCCACGGGCCCCAGACACAGCGGCGGGACCCCGGAGGAGGCAGGCGGTCGGTCCGAAGCCGACCACCCCCGGGGCAGGGAGGCGGCAGAGCGGCCGCACGGTGACTGACCGCCGGCGACGCGCAGCCCGGGGACCCACACCCTGTGTGAGGAGGCGGCGGCCGTACCTGACTCGGAACGTGGCTCCCAGGGGCAGCTGTCCGGGGGCGGCGCCCAGGGAACCAGACTCCAGGCTGGACGCTGATTCCCTTCCTCGCCCACAGCAGCTGCACGGCGGCCAGGGGCGGTGGCGCAGAAGCGGCGCCTTCTGATTGGCCCCTCGCGTGTTCACTTCCGGGTAAAAGGTCACTCGTCGCCCCGGCAACCGAGGCGCGCTTGGGGCGGGCGCAGCGCGTGAGCTTCCGGCCGCGGAGCTGGCGGGTCAGGGGGCGTCGCACAGCCGTGAAAGTGTCCGCGACCCCTCCTTATCACGTGAGTGCGCTTCCTCCCAAGGCCCGGCGAGGAAAGGCGCCTTTAAATAGAACTCGCGTTGCCCCGGAACTCGGCCCTGCAGGTCGTCCTGGTGTCGTAGCTCCTGAGCGTCTACACCGCAGTGGCCGAGAGGGTAGGGGCGCCGAACAGCCTGGGTCTGGGAATCAGGTGCGGATTCGGATTCCGATTCGGCTGTGGCGTGCTGCTGTGACACGTTAGGCAGGTGCCAGCCTCTCTGGGCTTCAGTCATCAGTCTCTGTGGTTCCTTTAGCTCCAGTATTCCAAAGCTTCCAATGTAGATCCTTCTATGGGCAATGGAAAAGAATTCCGATTATTTGTTGTTATATTTGTTTTTCTGCTTAGCAGGCGCTCAGTTGCTTCCCAACTGTCGTTCATTAACAAGATACCCAGTTATTCACTTCTTGCTGGCACTCAGCCTTGAACCGGGACAGTCGGGTAGGAAAGCAGCGTGGTAGGGGATTCTGACACAAAAAGCATTGTATTCGCAGAGCTGTAAATACTGTTAGAAGAGTGCGAGGATGGTAAGAAGTGAGAAAAAAGGCTTTGAGCGAGGCCATGCTACCAGGAATCTGTAGGTACACAGTTAGAAACTAGCCAAAGTGCTTTACATGGATAAACTCTCCAATGCTAAGGGTGAGGCAGAAATAACTTGTCAGAGGCCAAAGAAAATGATGGAATCTTGATTCAAACCTATGTGTCTCAGAGTCTTGAACACTTACTGGACTGAAGTACTAGAAAGTCATTGACCCCCCAACACTGAAGAAAACAAGAGGATAAGCCGACTCTAAATTCTGGGATGGTAATCTACTAGAATGTCACTGAAAGCGTGGCCTGTCCGTCAGAAACTCTTGGGATATTTTGAGATTCCTGGGGTTTACCTTGCATCAGAATGTCCACAGGCAAACTAGGTGTGGTGGCACATGCCTGTAATCCACACACTCAGGAGGCTGAGGCAAGAGTTCAAAGCCAGCCTGGGCTACATAGTGAGTTCAAGGTCAGCCTCAACTGCATAGTGAGACCCCTTTCAAAAAACAAAAAAAAAAGAAAAGATCTCCACAGGTAGGGCAAGGAAACTGATAGCCTGCGCAATACAGCGATTGAAGCAGAGAGGCCTCTATTGCTGAGCTACATACATCCCCAGTCCTTTTTATTTTGAGACAGGGTTTTGCTCTATTGCCCAAGCTGGCCTTCAACTTGCAACCCTTCTGCCTCAGCCTGCAGAGTAGCTGGCATTAAAGTTAGGTATGCTTAATTTTTCCTATAAAATTTCTAAAATTTAGTTGTAGATAAAGGGTAAAGAGTGGACATACAGAGACATGGCTTCACATTTTGAAGTTGTGAAGAGACAGGGACACAGAAGATGTTCTTGTACATTCTTGCTTTCTAAGTGTTAACGAAGACTAACCAGGTCACCAGGTATGCTTGTAGTGTGCTACAGGGGCCATGCTGTACTCTCCCTGAAGGTGTATCTCTTTGGTTTCTCAAGAACCACTCCTCCTGGAAGAGTTGCAAAAGTAGAATGTTGCAGGGCTCTGGTTATAAGCCAGAAGTTTCCTTGCCCTACCCGTGAAGATTTTTTCTTTTCTTTTCTTTCTTTCTTTCTTTCTTTTTTTTTTTTTTTGTTTATTTG